CGCAGTGGTGCGCAAGCCTTACTGCAAAAAAACAGCAGTTACAGCAGGGTGAGATATTCTCTCTCTCTCTCTCTCTATCTCTCTCTCTCTCTCTCTCTCTCTCTCTCTCACACACACACACACACACACACACACACACACACACACACACACACACACACACACACACACACACACACCACTCAAACAAACAAGGGTATGTGGAGTGCATTTCTCCCTTCGCCTTCATGTGTTATTCCTTTTCTCATACTAAATGTCCCTCTGATTTTGTCTGTCTGATTTTGTCAGTCTGATTTTGTCAGTCTGATTTTGTCAGTCTGATTTTGTCTGTCTGATTTTGTCAGTCTGATTTTGTCAGTCTGATTTTGTCTGTCTGATTTTGTCTGTCTGATTTTGTCAGTCTGATTCTGTCTGTCTGATTCTGTCGGTCTGATTTTGTCAGTCTGATTTTGTCTGTCTGATTCTGTCTCACTGATTCTGTCAGTCTGATATAGACCTAGATTTGAGCATATCATTTTGTTTCGCTTTGTTGTTCTTTTCTTTCTTTCTTTCTTTTTTTTTTGGTGGGGGGTGTGGAAAGTGGGTGGGGGTACATTTCTCATCGTACCTGTCATTGTGTTACGCCTCATTGATATTAAACATGTCTGTTATCACTGTTTTTTTTATTACTGTAATTATTATCATTATCATCATCATCATCGTTATTGTTTTCTTTGGCTTCGTCACCTTCGTCACCACTGCCTTAATTTCCTTCTCATGGTCATTGACGTTGTCTTCCAATCCTCCAATCCATTGTAATATTGTCTCTCTCTGTGTCGTTGCTGCCTTCATCGTCATTTCCCATCATCGTCGTCATCATCGTCGTCATCGCTTACAGTAGCGTAGCCTCAAGTGTTCTCCTACATGACGTGTATATAACCCTTCTTCTTTTCCTTTTTCTGGTAGTGTCCTCATTTTACGTAGTAGTCTTTTAAATACATGTACACACACTCACACTCACATATACATGTACACACACTCACACACATATACATGTACACACATTCACACACATATACATGTACACACACACTCATATACAGTACACACGCTCACACACATATACATATACACACACTCACACACATATACATGTACACACCCTCACACACATATATACATGTACACACACTCACACACATATACATGTACACACACTCACACACATATATACATGTACACACGCTCACACACATATTATACATGCACATACTTATACTCACACACATGTGTGCATATTGAACACATAGGCATATATACACACTCACACATAATATAATCGCACATACATATACACACAGTCACACTCAAACACGCAGACACAGATATATA